AGATGTGCTACCTGTTCCGGGTGTTCTAGGTCCCTCAGGGGTAATTGCTAACCAAGGTGAACTACGTGGTTCCTGGGTACCAGCTGTCCAGTATGTTGTAGCTGACCCCTGTGTACTTCCTGTCCCAGATGAACTGACTATCTCAGGTGAGCTAGCTGACCGAGGTGTGCTACCTGTTTCAGGTGTTCTTGCTATCTCAGATGTACTCAATGGTAGAGGTTCACTAACTGTTCCAGATGTACTAGGTTCCACAGATGAACTGACTGTCTGAGGTGCTCTGGGTTTTTTCGTGGTTTTAAACATCAAGTCCTTTATAACAGTCCTAGGAGTACTAAAAGTCCCATGTGTACTTGCTGTTTCAGGTGTACCTACAGTACCCGGTGTACTTTTTGCCACAGGTGTGTTAGGTGTCCCAGCTGTATTGACTGTCTCAGATATGCTAGCAGTAAAGGATGTACTAGCTATTTCAGATGTACTACCTGTTTCATGTGTTCTAGGTACATGTATCTCAGCTGTACTCAATGGTAGAGGCGTACTGACAGTTCCAGATGTACTGGTTTTCACAGATGACCCGACTGCCTGAGGTGTACTAGCTGTCTCCGTGGTACTAATCTTCAAATGCGTTTTAACTATCTCAGACGTAGTGGCTGTTTCAGGTGTACCTACTGTGCCAGATGTACTATACGTCTCAGGTGTGCTAGGTGTCCCAGTTGTGCTGACTGTCCCAGGTGTACTACCACCTAAGGATGTACTAGCTTTTCCAAATTCACTAACTATCCCAGATGTGCTACCTGTTCCGGGTGTTCTAGGTCCCCCAGATGTACTCATGGGTAAATATGTACTCTCTGTTCCAAATGTACTAGATCCCAAAGATGACCTTACTGTCTGAGATGCACTAGATGTCTCCGGGGTACTAGTTACCAAATGCTTTTTAACTGTCCCCTGTGTACTTATTGTCCGATGTGGGCTGACTATCCCCGATGTACTTACAGTTTCAGATGAGCTAAATGTCAAAAATGGGGTACCTGTTTCAGGTGTTCTAACTGTCTCAAATGTACTAAGTGGTAAAGGTGAACTAACTGTTCTAGATGAACTCGTACTAGATTCCACAGATGAACTGACTGTCTGAGGTGCACTATTTTTCTTCGTGGTTCTAAACATCAAATACTTTTTAACAGACCCAGGAGTACTAAAAGTCCCATGTGTACTTGCTGTTTCAGGTGTACCTACTGTACTAGGTGTACTTTTTGTCTCAGGTGTGTTAGGTGTCCCAGCTGTACTGACTGTCCCAGATGTACTTCCAGTCAGTGATGTACTAGCTATTTCAGATGTGCTACCTGTTATAGGTGTAATTTGAATCCCAGGGGTGCTTAATGTCCCAGCTGACCTAACTGTCCCAGATGGGCTACCTGTTTCAGGTGTTCTAGGTATCTCAGCTGTACCCAATGGCAGAGACGTACTGACAGTTCCAGATGTACTTGTTTTCACAGATGAGCCGACTATCTGAGGTGTACTAGCTGTCTCCATGGTACTAATCTTCAAATGCGTTTTAACTATCTCAGGCGTAGTGGCTGTTTCAGGTGTGCCTACTGTGCCAGATGTACTGTACGTCTCAGGTGTGCTAGGTGTCCCAGTTGTACTGACTGTCCCAGGTGTACTACCACCAAAGAATGTACTAGCTGTTTCAAATGCACTGACTATCCCAGATGTGCTACCTATTCCGGGTGTTCTAGGTCCCTCAGGGGTAATTGCTAACCAAGGTGAACTACGTGGTTCCTGGGTACCAGCTGTCCAGTATGTTGTAGCTGACCCGTGTGTACTTCCTGTCCCAGATGAACTGTCTATCCCAGGTGAGCTAGCTGACCAAGGTGTGCTACGTGTTTCAGGTGTTCTTGCGGTCTCAGATGTACTCAATGGTAGAGGTTCACTAACTGTTCCAGATGTACTAGGTTCCACAGAGGAACTGACTGTCTGATGTGCCTTGGTTGTTTTCGTGGTTGTAAACATCAAATACTTTTTAACAGTCCCAGGAGTACTGAAAGTCACACGTGTACTTGCTGTTTCAGGTGTATCTACTGTACCAGGTGTACTTTTTTTCTCAGATGCGTTAGGTGTCCCAGCTGTATTGACTGTCCCAGGTGAACTACCAATCACGGATGTTCTAGCTTTTTCAAATTTACTAACTATCCCAGATGTGCTACCTGTTCTGGGTGTTCCTGGTGTTTCAGATGTACTAACAGTCAAGGTTGTTCTAGCTATTTCAGAAGTGATATCAGTTATAGGTGTCCTTTGTATCTCAGATGTACTTACTGTCACAGGTGACCTAACTGTCCCAGATGTGCTACCTGTTCTGGGTGTTCCTGGTGTTTCAGATGTACTAACAGTCAAGGTTGTTCTAGCTATTTCAGAAGTGATATCAGTTATAGGTGTCCTTTGTATCTCAGATGTACTTACTGTCACAGGTGACCTAACTGTCCCAGATGTGCTACCTGTTTCAGGTGTTTTAGGTATCTCAGATGTTCTCAATTGTAAAGGCGTACTAGCTGTTCCAGATGTACTAGTTTTCAAAGATGTACTGACTTTCTGATGTGTACTAACTGTTCCGGGTGTACTTTTTGTCTCAGATGTGCTAGGTGTCCCAGGTGTACTGACTGTCCCAGGTGAACTACCAATCGTGGATGTACTAGCTTTTTCAAAAGTACTAACTATATCAGATGTGCTACCTGTTCTGGGTGTTCTAGGTCTCTCATATGTACTCATGGGTAAAAATGTACTCACTGTTACAGGTGTACTAGGTTTCACAGATTCCCTGATTGTCTCTGGTGTACTCACTGAGAGAGAAGTACCTGCAGTTCTAAAGGTAAAATCTGTCCCAGGTGTCCTAATTGTCTCAGAGGTACCAGCTCTAGCAGGGTAACTAATTATCAGATGTTTACTATCTATCCCAAGAGTAGAATCTGTCTCAAGTGATCTAGCTTCCCCAGGCGGATTAGCTGTCACAGGTGAACTAACTGTCCCAGGTAAACTAAATGTACCAAGTGAGCCTGTTGTCCCTGGAGTACGTATTGTAACAGGTGTACCAGGTGAACTATTTTTTCCAAATGTACTACCTGCCCTATTTGTACTAACTACCCCAGGTGAACTAGCTGTTTCAGGTGTACTTATTGTACCAGGTATACCAGGTATATTAACTTTTCCAGATGTGCCAACAGTCCCAACTGTACTAACTATCAAACGTTTACTTGTCATCCCAGGTGTACTAACCGTGCCAGGTGTACTAAATGTCTCGTGTGTCCCAACTGTCTCACGTGTACTAACTGTCATTGGTGTATTAGCCCCGAGAGATGGGCTGACAGTGCCGTTAGTGTTAACTATCCCAGGTGTACTAACCATGCCAGGTGTACTAAATGTCCCGAGTGTACCGACTGCCTCACGTGTACTAACTGTCATTGGTGTATTAGCCCCGGGAGATGGGCTGACAGTGCCGTTAGTGTTAACTATCCCAGGTGTACTAGTTACCGATGATGTTCTACCTGTCCTAGACGTGTTAGCTTCACCAGGTATGCCAGGTGTTCTAGCGGGTCTAAATGTTTCAGCTGTACTGACAGTCCCGGGTGTACTTTTTGTCTCATGAGTACTACCCGCTCCCACTGTGTTAGCTACCAAACGTTTACTAACTAACCCAAGTGTACTACCTGTCCTGGAAGCACTGAATGTCTCAGGTGTACTAGCTATCCCAGGTGTACCAACTGTCTCATGTGTATAAACTGTCCCAGGTAAACCAGATGTCCCAGGGGAGCTAGAAATACCAGGTGCCATAGGCGTGCCAGGCGTGTTCTGTGTGCTAAATGTACTTGCAGAGACAGATGTTCCTATCTTGAAATTGGTACTTAATGTCCCAGGCGTACTAGATGTGTGGTTTGTAACAGAAGCTTTTTCGGTTAGTAAAAATTTGACGCCTGCTGTAACGGCCTTGTCAACTGTCTTTGATGTACGTATTCTAGATGTGCCAAATGTACTCTGAGTGCCAGGTGTAATATGTGATTGCAGTGTACTATGTGTGTGGTATATTTTTCGTGTGTTAATTGTAACAGGTGTGTAGGATGTTTCAGGTATGCTATGTGTACTAGGTGTACTTGAAATGCCTGTTGTGCTCTGTGTAGTTGGTGTTGTTGATCCTAGAGATGGTGATGATACCTTTGGGGTTTCTGAAAGAAAGTTAATGTGTCTCAAAGCTTATTCTACTATCAAAACTGACGGAATAGGATGGGTCTTGCTCCAACGTTGTGCATACTTTTGTAAAGTTCTCATTGCATATCGATATTACTACATTTGTATGATGTTATTTATTTCTGATGAGAATCAGCAACATGATTCAGTTCCTATTCATTCTTGATAGCACCAGACTTTTATAGTCTTCTTTGACCACACATTTAGTCCGTTTATCTCCTTGACCACTCAGTTTCTGATCATTCGAAAACGCTGGAAGACGTTTGGGTAACTTTAAAGAAAATGCATAACTTCGCTATTTATACACAGTTTTCTGTTCTGGTTTTTTTTTTTGGCCTGAAGCTCGAAAAAGTCGACATAAGCATGTATACTACGAATAGAATTGCCTGCTTCTGGTTTGTATATAATGGCTTAAAGTGTGAAACAAAATCATACTGGTCGGACTTATTATGTGTCCGCTGTGTCCTTCAAAAATGAATTGAAGAGTACAGTCTAATTTGACAGATACCAATGTGGGGGATAGCAAGAAATGTGAACAAGCTTTAAGATGACACCTATAGCTTCATAATATTATGCCAAAAATTGATAGTCGCCTGATTCTACCGTGTTGTTGCACATAACAGGATTGAGTGGCAACTTACCACA